CTTTCCTTATCTCTAACTGGACATCCAGTGGATCTCCATAAGCTGTGGCAAGAAGACTTATGACAAAAAGAACTGCACAGCAAGAAAAAAACAAAAACAAAACAAAACAACAACAACAACAAAACCCACTGCAGATGGTAGGAGTTATAGTCATTCCTGATGACTTCGGTTCTCCCCTGCAGCACTTGCCAGCCCAGTGCATGTGTAAGCCCACTCTGACAATGTTGATGCTAATGATAATAGCGTCACGTGACTATTTCTGGAAAACACCTAGAGCCATCTCTTTGAATTATTCATTTCCTGACTGCTTTTTTCTAAGTTTTGTAACATAATTCCTTGGGGATCTAGACTTACATGCCAAAGGACGTTTTATTCAGAGCCCCTCTCTCTTCCTTTCCCTCTCTGTCTGTATTTACTTGTCTTTCTGCTGCATGGCGGTTGTTTTGATGATTTCAGAGTGTTCTTCAGCCTTGCTAACTGAGTATATTTGGGAGAAGCATTGGCTCCCAGCAGTGTTTTTCTTAAAAGTTCTCATGGGGTGCTTCCTAACACTTCTCTGGAAAAGAGCAGAGAGCCAGTGCCACCCCTACAAGCACTCCTTCCAAGGCATCAAATTGTATTTTCCTAATACTCTTCCTGACTGTAGTCCCTTTGGCCTTTGTAGGAGACTCAGGGTGCAGAGCAAAGTTGAAATAAGAATTTGAGTTTACCCGGTGGTGCTGAGGGCATGGCTCACTGGGTAAAGTGCTTGCTTTGCAAGCATGACAGCCTGAGTTAGAATTTGCAGGAACCATGAAAGGCAGGCACGACAGTGTGACTGGAATCTCATGCGCCTACAGTGAGATGAGAGGTGGAGACGGGAGAATCTCTGTGGTCACATGGGCCGCCAGCCTCCTGACCACAGCATGAACAACAAAGACGTCCTGTCTCAAACAAGGTGGAAGCTAAGTTGTTCTCTGACTCTCACATACACAATGGGGCATGTATGTTTATGTACATGTGCTCACACATGTGCATACAAACATGTACAGGCATACATATTATATTCATACATTCACAAAATATGATGAAAAGAAGCTGAGGAAGACGTATAAGACTTACATGCATATTCATACATGATACACACATAAAAAAGACAAAAACATTTTTTAAAAGCAAAGTTTATTGACTAAGAACAAGAATCCAAGGAATAGTAGATATGGAATTACCATTTTTGGAGGTGTCTGTGTCTGATTATAGCAAGTGGCCAGATCTAGGTTCAAATCCCAGCCCTACCATTGGCTTTTCTGCTTTACTTCTCTTGTCAGTATGGTGTGACTAGCAGTTTTTACCTCCTTGTACTGTCAGAAGGCTCATATAAGGAGAACAACATGGGGCAAACAGTAGGTACCCAGCACATGATCGCCACGATTCTAACCACGAGGTGGGTAGAGGAGATTCAGCTTGTAGTCTCTGAACACCCAAAGTGTAACCCAGGTAGTCACAGTGATGAGTTCAGGAAACCAGTTAGTTTTAGCTTAAAACCCAGTTCTGCCAAAATCCCACTGTGTCAACTTCATTAAATCTCAATTTCACCAAGCTTCAACTTTCTTCCCAGGTAAGGCGGTCACTGTGCTATGAAGGGACCCAATGCTTATAATAAGAGAATAAAGCATGGGCTTTGGCCTCCTCGGGCCAACAGTTTTCAAGTGTCCTGTGGCCCTATGGGTTCCCCTGCACTGCCCCTGGGAGCTCCGGGCCACTGTGCAAGTTCAGAAGATGGAATGTCACCTATGGCTCTGCCTTGCATCATAATCCTTTCCAGAAAGACAGCTCCTGATGTGTAATAACTTCCAGGACCATTGGTGCTGCCAAGACAAGGCTCATGACACAAAGGAGCTTCCCAGGCAGAATCTAACACGGTGGGGAAAACTTTGGAGGTGGACAGTTCAATTCCTATCTCGGCTCCATCTTCTGTCTGTGATATTACCTAACTTCTCTTTCAGCTTGTAAACTATGGATGCTTTGCAGAGTTGAAGTGGGGATCGAATAAGATAATAAGCACAAAACCTTTACTGCACGGCAAGATAAACAGAAGCCATTTTTACTAACTGTCAAGAGCCATGCATTCTGTGTCTAGTTATGGAGTTGAGTCTATGTTAGCTACTGCCCCAGTCATTCTGGCCAGGAGTGGTGTAGTTAGTGGTGCTTATAGGTTCTGTGCTGGACTTTACATTAGTTGCTTGTCCATCCCAAATGCCGTGAGGCTATATAAGTTATCACAGTTCATTTCTTCTTGCTAGAACTGAGTGTCAATGTAGGCAGTTTAAGGAGAACAGAGATTTAGAGAGTTGTTCTGGATACTGGGAGATCTAGAATGGAGCTAGCATCTGGCCAAGGCCTTTAAAAACTACTTCTTTTAGTTTTGGGGATTATAATATAATTACTTAATTTTCCCCTTCTCTTGCCTCCTTCAAAACTGTTCCATAGACCCCTCTGTTTTAGTTAGGGTTTCTATTGCTGTGAAGAGACAACAGGGCCACAGCAATTCTTATAAAGGAAAAGATTTAATTAAGGCTGACTTACAGTTTCAGAGATTTAGTCCATTATCATTATGGCAGGAAACATGGCAGCCTGCAGGCAGACATGTTGTTGGAGAAGGAATAGGAATTCTACCTCTGGAGCAGCAGGCAGCAGGAAGAGAGTGAGACACTGAGCCTGGCTTGAGCATCGGAGGCCTCAAAGCCCACCCTGACAGTGACACAATTCCTCCAACAAGGACACACCTACTCCAACAAGACCACATATCCTAATAGCGCCACTCCTTAACGGCCAAGCAGTCAAACTCGTGAGTCTATGGGGGCCATAGCTATTCAACCCACTACACTCAACTTGCTCTCTTTCAGATTCACTGGTTAGGGCCTTTGTGCTGATTTGTTCATGAAGAAAGAGCAAGTGAGTATGGAAGACGGAGGGGAGCACATGCCCTGGACTCAGTATTCTTGCTGGAGCTAGCTTTGTTGAGAGTGATAGGTAGCATTCCATTTTCTGGAGTCTCCCAATGGCCCTGAGCTCCCAAGGATAATGAAGGGGAGCTCATAAGAGCACAGAAGACTTGAAGACTCTTGGCCCAAGGAGGCCAAAGCCCAAGCTCTATTCTTTCATTATAAACATTGGGTCCCTTCAAAGTATATGGAAGAGGCAACCAGATGGGTCTCCTTTAACAAATGGAGAGCCCCCATGACCTACCTATTTCTAAAATTGTTCACCATCTTAGTGTCATTGTAACAATAAAATTTCAACATGAGTTTTCTGGGGGAGACATTTAAATTATAGCAATATCTATCTCTTGATTCTTTAACATTCCAGGAGACCCCAGATTATGAACCTATTTTTTAAAAATTCATTTATTTTGTATTGAATGTGTGCATGTGTGTAGGTGCATGTGTGTATGTGTGCTACAGATGCCAGAAGAGGGTGTTGGGTCCCCTGGAGCTGGAGTTACAGGTAATGAGCCATCCAACATAGATGCTGAAAGTCCTCTGGAAGAGCAGCAAGCAGTCTTAGCCATTGAGTCCTTTTTTAGCTCCTCCCTTATAATTTCTAGACTCATGCAAGTTGCATGATGCAAAGAACCTTGTGAATAACTGAAAAATTGAGGAACAGTAAGACTGTCCCCATGAAAGGGAGATGTGGGGCCAGACAGATCCGCTTTGCCGTCGCTGTTTGGATTGTCTGTGTTTCTCTGACACAGTCTGTGATTATATGTTAGTCAGCTGTGTCTCCATGTGTGTACCTGTGTAGCTCATGCTTCTAAGCCATGCTTGGAGTAAGAGAAGGAAAAGACACAGTTTCTAAGATGCAGACATTCTCTAAGTGACAGTGAAGAGATAGTCAGAAGTCAGGTAGCACAACAGAACTTTGTGGAATAAACTAATGTGTAAGTAGGATGTTAACGTTCAGAAAGTAGCGGGGACTTTGCAGACAAATGGGTCCGAGCTAAGCCTGGCTCTGTTCTTGTGACTTATGACTTTGACGGTTTACTTAATCACCAAGTGAGAGTTCTGTCTGGAACCAGGTACGATAGATATTGGCTTAGATCTTACTTATAAAAAGGTGACCCAGTCTATGGCATAGAGGGACATGACTGGAAGCCATTATCATCAAGGTTACTATTATCACACACACTCACAACTCCCCACAGTTCCCTTAGTGTGTTATCTGTTGCATGTTATCTGTTGTGTTATGTGCATATCTGTTTTTGCCTCTTGTATTCATGCCATTGGGAACTTCACTTGCCATTCTGTGTTCATATGTGATCAGAGATAACCATTAGACAACCCATCCACTATATACAGGGTCACTGAAGTACAGTGGAGCATAATCAGGCCTAAAATTGAGATATTTTTCTCTCATGGGTCTTTAGAGAGATAAATACAAAACACACTACAATGTCAGGCAATGCTAAAAAGAAACATTGTGAAAAGAAAGGACCAAGTATTTTCTCTCTTGGTGTGACACAGATTAATTTATTTCTGGACTTAACCCTGTATGTCCAGAGCAGTGATAGAGCAGTTCGCATTAGTCAAAGCTATCTTTGGTTGTTTTTTTTTCTTCATATTTTCGTGTGAACTGAAGAGGCTTGCCTAGGAAGACACGTTAATTACCAGCATCAAATGTGTCTGGTTCTCCTAAGAAGCATCTGGGCCAATGTGGCTAAAACATGAGAAGAAGAGATCATAGACTACATCACAATGTTAGAATATTGATGCATGCTATTGTGGCTGGTAGACTGATCAAATGCATGGCCTCTGTTGCTAGGACCCCTGGGCTGCCCCAGACTCACAGGCTGAAATGGGTGGACCAGCCCAGACAACCAGCATTACAGGAAGCAGGAAGCTAAATCAGATACTCCTGAGCCAGCAGGTATCCAGCAGTGCACAGCCGCTGTGCTGGGACTGATCCCCTTTGGGTTGGAACAGAAATATGTCTAATTATGCTGATTTATTAAACTACTCAGCCTCCATCCAATAAGCTTTATTTTGCCATTATTTATGACTTGCTGAGTCCTGGCAGTGAGCTCTGTATGAAAGAAGGTACAGCCAGGGGCTGAGGAGGGTCTGAGGTAAGGCAGGGAAAACCTCAAAGCTTCCTCAGTTGTCACAAGAGTGAATGGACTGTGAGGGTGGTGGTGACATGTCTAAGGTGTGTTTAGCTGGTTGACATTCCCAGCATTCTTTCCACGTCTCGGCCCCATCCCTTCCCAGTCTCCTTCTGTTTTCCTTCCCGAAGATTGTCCCTCTAGCTCACAGGCTTTGGTTTGGTCACATTTGGGCTGTCCGTTCATCTCTGGGTATTGCTTTATAGACCCTTGCGTGTCATCTTATTTTTTTACGAACACTTGCAGGAAAGAGAAGTGTGAGTAGGGAGGCCTGAGGGAGAAAGAGGAAAGACCTTTTACTCTCATGAAGAGGACCGAAAGTTTCTTGTAGTCTTCTTTCTTTATCTGGAGGGGGGCTGTGGGGTATAGCTGAAAGACAAAGGTATGCACCAAGGTCCAAAGTGGAGGTCTGAACAGAAGCCTTAGGTAGGCCTGAGTTGCCCCTTCTTCAAGGACAGAGTCTCATGATACCTGAGGATGCCCATGGCATTCACATTCCTTTCCAGAGATCTGAAAGAGGTGAAGCATGGAAACTAAGCCATCTGGAGCCATCTCTAGCACATGGACTGTCATAGACTCAGCAAAGAGTTACTAGCTATTCTTGCTTCCCTGAGGCTCTGGTTTTGTAGGAAGGACCTGAGGGTTTCCTGGACAGAAAGACTTCCCCCTTTTCTTGTTGGGTGGTTTTAAGGTGTGGAAGCAGCCAGATTGCTGGGAAAGTTGTGGGTGGGCTGAGGGCCAAGGAACATAAAGGTACCATTGGGTCAGCATTTTGAGCATCTACCCTCGTTCCTCTGTTGACACCCAGCCTTCAGATCCCATTGTCTTCAAGCCAGAAGGGCTGGCTTGTAATATTACCATCATTTATGCTTACAGGAGGAGCAGAAGGCCAAGCAATCACATCCTCCACAGCTCTACAGGGAAGTCCAGGAAGTGGAGGGCAAGGGCAGAAGATTGGGCTAATCTTGGAGTTGGGTCTTCCAGCTCAGAGCTCACATCTTAGCAGGAGGCTGCAGGAAACAGCTGGATCCTATGATGAGAAAAGAAGAGATGGGAAATTCAATGTTGGATGCCGAGGGAAAAGGGAAACTGACCTCCCACAGTGTAATGGTCCAGATCCAGACGGACTGGACATTATTCAATAGCCTGACCCAGATGCTGTAGTTTTCCATGGGTGGGGAAGGGTACTGTTGGCTCTTAGGATCTTGACCTAGTAGCTGAAAGCCTGAGAGAGCCTGAGAATTTGCTTAGCTTGCTAGGCAGGGTCTGCTGTTCCTAGTTATCCTGTAGAGCTGAATGCTTGCACTGCTGTCAGGAGATCTGGCTTCATCCATTCATAGAAAGGTCATTTGATTGTTTTGTAAGCTGGAAATACAAGGTGTATTAGCTACTTTTCCTATTGCTATTATACACTATCTGACAAACTTAAGGAAGGAGAGTCTTATTCTGACGTACAGTTCAAGGAAGATTTTTCAAGTATGGCAGAGAAGGCACAGAAGCAGATACTGGATTCAGCTATCACTTTGTACCAACAGTCAGGAAGGAGAGAGGGGACAGGAAAGGGGGTAAGTTATCACCAGACCCAGCCTGTCATGATCCAATTTATCTAGCAATGATCTATCTCCTAAAGGATCCATAATTGTTCTAAACAGTGCCACTAGCTGGGAACCACATATTCAAACATGTGAGCGTGTGAAGAATATTTCACATTCAAAGCACAACACAGGGCAAGATCATGGTCAACTGTTGTTAAAGCATCTTCAAGAACGGGCCATCTGGAGGAGCTAGTGCTGAAGTCAAAAAGCAGCAGATTACTATTCATTCTTGGTATCTGCACGGAATATCAGTCCATTCTGTTTCTCTCTGCTCCATATTGACAGGTCTACCAAACGACAGGAGAGGACCAGAAGAGGAGAGGAAGGTCCAAGATGTGTTTTATATTTTAATGTGGTTTACACTTCTGACACCTCTTTAAAACTCAACCATCAACCAAACCCCAGAGGAATATCTGGTTAATATCATCGCCTCGTCAACTTGTTGTCTTTCATATAACCATCTCCCATGAAGTAGAAGGCAATAAAAAGACTTTGAATGTGATCCATCTCCAGGCTATGTCTTTAAGTACTTTTTTTTAAAAGTATGACCTATACATTCATATAAAGCTGAAAGGTGAAACTTTTCTTTGACAAAGTTGTACTTACTTTTACTGCCTACAATGAATTATGATGCATTCTATTTTGTCATATTTTATATTCCTTTTCAAAGTCCTACTTAACTGGAAACATTGGCTTAGAAACCAGAGTGGTCTCAACAACTTTCTATAGGGTAGCTTTACTTTCAGTGTAGCTAGCACCAGTTGCAGCCAGGTCTTCACTGTTGTCTACTCAACATTGACCAAGAAGAGAGCGGGAGCAAGAATTAATATTCAGGTTACTACTAAAAAAAAAAATTACTGTCTAAAAGTAACTTTTATTTGCCTGATATAATTGTTGTCTCTGAGGCGTATTGCCTCTGTCTGCTAACCTAGGCCTCATCCTGAAAGTGTCCAGCTTCCATACAATCTTATCTAAGTAGAGAATGTTTTCAGCTTCTGCTTACTTACTGCTGAATAAGCTTACCTTTTCTAGCTCTTTCTGAATGCTGGCTGGATGGTCAACTCAGCTATTATGGCTTAAACTCCTTTCCATGCTGACTGATTCAATCTAGCTTCTCCCATGGCTTCTGACTTTTTGCACTGCTTGGCCTCAAAGTAGCTCTGAAAGTCTGTTCTAACCTGGTTCCTTGTCATTTTCTGGCTCATTTTGTCTAACTTGTTCTATCTCTGCAACCTGTCTCTGTACAACTGTCCTAGTAAAATTGCCTCCTTCTCTTCATCTCTTTCCACTGCCTCTCAAGTAGCTTCCCTTTCCTTTCTCTTTTTGTGAGAGTTGGGCGTATCCTATTCTGTCAAAATCTTTCTCTGATTCATCACTTTGTCTGCCACTCAATTAGACATCACTTTCAAACACGGTTGCTTCCTTCTACAAACTAACTTTATCTTCATTGTTTGGGATTAAGGATGTGTATTAAGGCTGAACCACATCACAACTAGAAACAACGTTTCTTCAGTAAATAACAATCTTGAGGTTCACAGTGTGATAAATTATCCTGCAACATTACTGCATAGTGAGGCTACAGCGAGTATTATTAACTTGGCGAAATTTAATGGTGAATTTTTAACTCCAGTGGTCTTGCCATTCACCTTTTTTCATGCTGTTCCTGTTTCTGGAAATGCCCTGACAGCTTCACCACATCCAAATCATCTGACTCTCAAGACTTGCTTTTTTCAGGGATTCTGCTCTGTCTTTGCCTGTTCAGGACTTTAAAATGTTTAACTCTTTTACTTATTTGGCTTGTCAGCATGTTTAGCCAGCCAAACTTGAATTCACGAATGTCATGTATTTCCTGTAGTTAATCTCTGAGAGAGACTACCTAGCTTTACATACTATATGGAGCCGTGTTTGTGAAAGGGTCTTCTGGTTCCTGGCAACTGACCAACTGTTGGAAAATCAAAGTCTTTCTTATTCTTAGTCCCAAAATGATCTGAAGTCTGTCTACATGCTCACTCTTGGGTCCAGTGACACAGTCTTTATAATCTATGTCTGGGTTGGCTTGATGCCTATTTTTCCATACAGTCTTGATTTATGCCTCTTATACAAACATAAGACTCTCGTTGGCTCTGATGGTTTGATCACCCAAGCCTGCATTATCTAGAGTTAGCTTTAGTTTCTCTTACTATTACATACCTATGTGATGTGCCATACAAATGAACTTCATTTGTACCAGCTTTTCTATTTTCACATGAACTATTCTATCATTAAAATTACCCCTCCTTCAATGTGCTATCATGAGCTCCTTTTCCATTTAAGCCAGACCTGGGAGTTGGCCAGGCACTTTCCCTTTGCTTTATTAACCCATATATCAATTTCCTAAGTAATCTAAGTGCCTGCCAATGATTGAGCATTGTGCTAATTGCTGATGTAGTGCAGTGAGACAAATAGTCTTGTTTTCTTTGAATTTATATTCCAGCGTAATAAACACCCACATATACAGTTGCAGATGGAGATAAGGATGATGAAGGAAATGGGCCAGCTCTCTGCCAGTGGGTGTAGGTCCATTTTGTACCGAGCACTCCAGGAAGGCCTCTCTGAGGGATTAATGTGAAGCACAGATATGAAGGATCTGAAGAAGCCAGTGATTGAAAGGCTTCCAGCCAAAAACATTCAAGGAAGTCCATTTACACTTTAGGGTTATCATTCTGGAAAGCAAGTGGACGGTGGATTGTTAGGGAGAACCAATTAAGAGGCTCTTAGTGTTATATAGGCAATAGCTAATGGTCATTTCTCACAAAAAGGACAGATCAAGAACATATATGGGTGGTAAAAATCAATAAGGCTTGGCAATTGAATGCTGCGATTGGATGCTGTGTAGAGGAGGGGCTGGTGGTTGGAGTGAGGGGGACCCAACCCTAGCATCAGTTGAATGGCTTCAGTAAGAGGTAAGTGGTAGAGCCATCAATCAAGTTAGGGAAAAGAAAGTGAACAAGGCACCTCATGGGGCAGCTGCAGACACATGAGGACATTGGATGTCAGCTCCATGGGCACACGCAGAGCATCTTGGTCTGATGCACTGCTGTGGCCATCATGAAGTTCTTAAGAATTTGGTCTTCGAGTGTGTGTTTTGTGAGTGAAGTCTGACTGGATATTGGATATGACAATGATCAGAATAGCAGCCGTATGCTTCCTTAGGGCCTTGTCACCTCATTTCCTACACTTGCGATAGACTCAAATAAACCCTGGGAGATGCGTAATACACATTTTTCAACAAAACACAAAGAAGTAGATGCTGTGTCTATAACTGACTAGACTGGAGCACTGATAACCCCAAGAGGTCATGTTCCCAGTTCAGTGGGACACAAGAAAGTAGGTGAAGGTCTCTGAATAACAAACTATGTACCTTATTTGATTCTTCCTTGGGCCATAAACGAAGGTATAAAAAGAAGAGAGGTAGAGAGAAGCCTGACACTCCTTTCATTCACCACTAACTTGTGATCCTAGTACTTGGGGAAATGGAAGCACGAGGATCAAGAGTTCAAGAACAACCTGGGTTAGATGAGACCCTGTGCCAAACAATCAATCAGTCAAACAAACAAACATAGTGAAGAAGCAAAATTAAATTAACGGATGAATTCCATGGCAAAATACTATTGTTTTAAAACAAATGACATATACATATATACATAGATATTTACATATACTTATATGTACCTACATATAAGAGCCAAGAATTAAGAATTACGTCATTTTGATGATTCTGTGTATAAGTTGAATTCTCTCATATTTACATCTAAAACATTGTGCTATACAAAAATAAGTGATAAAATTCAGCTCATAGTTTATGATATTCCCCATTTTTCTTTACATACAATGACAATCATAGTAAGATGAAAAGCTACAGAGGAACCATGGGAAGAAAGGACAGACCTCACATGTTAACTCCTTTAATGTCATTTTCTCCCAATATTTTAATAAGAAGATCTACACCTTCATTTTGCTCTAGAGCCTTTCAATTACAGAACCAGTCCTAGGGAGCTAACTGGTCACGGAACTAGGTCAAGAGCCCCAAGTTTTATCCCTTAACCACAGTGGTTGATGTTTTCTTCTGTGCTCTTCAAGTCCCCACTCTGAGGGACCTCCTCCACCCTAGTCTTTAAGGACTACTGGCAAGTCCAGAAAGAGTAAAGATGCCTCAAGAAAGGGCTCCAGAAGACAGAACTAAAGGCCCAGGGAGAGACCAGAGAGATAGGAGATGGGCAGAACACCTCAGGACATTTCCTGGAGGCCTGGGAAGTCATATCGAAGTAACACAACATGTGGCCTTGTCTCATGTGTAACCAGAGGACAATAGTCCTTGTTGACTATTAATGCTGAGGAAGAATGGCCTGCAAATGCTACCTGGACAGAAAAATAGAAAGAATACTTTTCTACCCATATCCACTTATGATAATGTCTATGGAGGCATGGTCTACAGGACTGTACTACTCAGTGTCAACTGGGACTAGCTTCATGCCCAGGACTTTAGGACCTTGGCAAAGTATCTGGGTTCCTCTAAACCCATCCTGGCTTGGCCAGCAGCCCAACCCTCAGAGATCCCACCATTTTCTATGATGACTACACTGTCAGCCAGACAATGTTAACAGGCAAAGGAGCAGTTCTCTGTGAGCATCTTGGAGTGGGACAGAGGCTGTGGAGGCAGAAATAATACCAGGTATATTGCCAAGATTAAATCTACTCCTTTCTTTGCAGCTGGACTGTGGCCATGTGATCAGATTCAGGCTAATGAAACATGACAAGGAATGGTCTAATCATGCTTGCTAGATCAACGGGTGTTTAAGGCTCTGTGTAGAAAACCAGACTTCTATAGTGTTGTGTAAACTAAACTGGGACTCTCCTGTAAATGCTTTCCCAGGGATTCTCCTGTAAACACTTTCCCAGGGTGTACCACGGAAGCGGTCTTTGGACAGTGGCAAAGTGAATAGTTTACAGAGGCTTACCTCAGGGGCAGGTAAGATGTCTGTGGCCAGCTGTCTCCCAACAGTGATTCAACACGAATCCACCTGCTATCGTGCCTTTGTGTGGTCCCTTTCTGTGTTGATGCGCAGCTTGGCTGTATGACATGCTCTGGCCAATAAGGCACCTGGGATACAGTCAGAGGTTAAGCGCTTATGCCCCGGGGCTTGCTCTCATGGCACTCAGCCTTCTCAGTTCTCTCAGCCAAATATAGTCTATCTGCAGCTGTGAGAGCGAGCCCAGGTGCCACCAGCTGAGGAACCTCGTGGCCAGCCCACAGAGCTGTGGGAAGCAAACCTGTGGTTGCTTTCAGCTATTCAGCTCTGGGACAGGAGATAACTAACACAATATCTTATTCAATCTTGCTTCTCTGGAACCAGATGTGGTGCCTCCACCTCCCTTTGTGACATATAGTTTATTCTCCTAATAGCCTTCCAGATGAGTTTAACATCACTTTGTATTTATTTTTAATTACGAGAGTCAAACAACCTCTTACTCATGCCAAACCCTCATACTGGGTGTGTGCGTGTGTGGTGGGAGTGCTCGATAGGACACAACTGTCTGATTATCCACATTCTTGTAGAAGTTGTAATCAAAGTCAGGGAGATGCAGCGGCTTGCATAAGTTCCCCTCCAGCAGACTTTGATCACTTGCAGTACGGCAGTATTAATAATTCATAACTTTTGATACTTATTGAATACTTTGCCATTTGCCAACTGCCCAGAGCTTTACATACCTACAGTGTCTTCAACTTTGCTGAAGCCTTGTAAATTGCTCAGTTATCCTCTTAAATAAGATGGAGAAACTGAGGCTCAAGAAGTATACACAATTAGGGGCTGGGGACCCAGCCTAGCAGTTAAGAGCACAGACTGCTCTTCCAGAGGACCTGGGTTGTTTTTTCAGCACCCACAAGGCAGCTCACAATGATGTGTTGCTCTAGGTCTAGGTCAGATACCACTGCATGCATGTGGTATGCATACATACATGCAGACAAAACACCCATGCACATAAAAATATACACACACTTAGAAAAAGGAAGTACACATAACTAGTTTTTCAGAGTTAGCAAGTAGCAGAGCTGAGCTCGAAACCTGAGGCTTCCCAACTGCCCACTGGTGCTTGTCTCCCCTCCCTTAATGTGTGCTGACAGATTCTACCCTAAAGATAGCATATGAGGCATCTTTCTCACGAAGGAAAGGAGATTTCTTTTAAAGTAGTGTGTGTGTGTGTGTGTGTGTGTGTGTGTGTGTATGAGTGTACAATTGTGAGGCCAGAGGCCAACCTTTAGGTGCCATCTATCCTGGTTTTCCTGGTTTTGTTTCTGAAACAAGGTCATTTATTTTACCTGGAACTTGATGATTGAGGTAGGCTGGCTGGCTAGTGAGCCCAAGTTATCTATCTACCCTCTGTCCCCAGGGCTGGGATTTCAAATACATACTGCCATGCTAGGCTTCTACCTGGGTTCTGTGGACAGAGCTCCGTTCTGGTGCTTGAATGGCAAGCACTTTAACCAAATCAGTCATCTCCTTTGTCTTTGTCTGGAAAAAAATTTCTCACAACTCCCCTTTGATGTAAAGTGTGCATTAACTGCTTAGTGATAGTTATATAAAATTGTGTACAACATGCAGGGCCTGGATCGTGGTAGAAAACGGTTTTCAATGCAAGAAGTAGTTTTTGGCATTATCTGACTGAGAGTGTAGTGATGGTAAGAAATGGTGAGGGTCTCTGAGGATTGGGCTAGATGTGTTTAGGGGTGCCCAGACACCTTGACAAGGCCCTAAATTTCTGTACAGGAAACTCACGCCAATAGACACTGAGTAGTACAGTCCTGTAGACCATACCTCCACTGACATGATACAGGGATGTGGATAGAGAAGTAATCTTTCTATATTTCTGGCAAGGTAGCATTTGTGGGCTCTTCTTCCTCTCACTTTTTCCTCTCATTACACACAGGACAAGCCACATGGTGTGTTACTTAGATGTGACCCTCTAGGAAGTGTCCCCTTGAGCCTTCCGTGCCCATCTCCTTCTTCTCTGGTCTCTCCTTGGACCTTCACTTCTCTGAAACCCTTTCTGGAGTCATCTCTACTCTTTCTGGACTTGCTGGATATCCTTAAAGACCAGGATGGAGGAGGTCCTTCAGAGTGGTGATAGATCATTAAAAGAATACCACAAATTCCATCCATTTTCTGTTGAAATAAAAAGAAAGCTTCCATTTCCTGTCCTTTATAATTCAATGACACCCTGTGACTGAGATCAGCCCAGTGGACTAAGGCCTGGATGCTGACAATCATGTCTAGGCTTCATCTTTACATCGTTCCTGCCTAGCAATCATACCGTGTCTACTGCTTGTTTTATAAATACAGTTTTCTTGGATCCCAGCCTCACTCCTTTGTCCCTATCCCACTTGCAGCTGTTTTCACCCCACAACAACAGAGACAAGTAAGGTGCCTGAGTGAGGGGCCTGCAGACCCTTAACCATTTCCTGAACAGCTGCAGACCTCTGCTCTAGTCCTTCAGGCTGTGGTAACAATCCATCTCCGTTTGTAGTAATAAACTTATCACTTGGCTGCTGGAAGATGCTCCCACTTCTCCCAAATGCCTGGTTTCCACAGCATCATTATCTTGCTACAATAAGGGACAACTGAGAAAGCCTCCCCAGACTCAGGTCCTTGAGCTGTTTGAGGAGTTAGTGGAGATCTTTCCTTGGGACCACACATATCAGCATCATTATCCCTGTATCTAATTTTGTATCCCTGCTTTCCTTCCGTAGACACAAATCCTGAACATTCTCACATAAGTCCTGCACTCTGTTCCCATATCAGAGCTGGCTCCTGGGGCTTGTGCTCTGACAAATCCCTTGTTCTCTATTAGGCTATTCAATAGGACAACATCAGAGATGAAAGCCTCTGGTCCTTGAATCAATTCTTAGAGGTCAGATACCAACTGGGCCCTCTAAACTCCTGTCACACTTGACAGTAGAACAGCTTGGTCATTTGAATGAAAATGGCTTCTATAGGTTCATAGAGAGTGGCACTATTATGAGGTATGACCTTATTGGAGTAAGTATGGCCTTGTTAGAGGAAATGTGCCTCTGAGGCTGAGCTTTGAGGTTTCAGAAGCTCAAGCCATGACCAGTGTCACTTTGTATTTCTTCTGCCTGCTGATCTAGAGTCAGAACTCTCAGCTACTTCTCCAGCACCATGTCTGCCTGGATGCTGCCATGCTTCCCACCATGATGATAATGGACTAAACCTCTGAGCTGCAAGCCAGCCTTAATTAAATGTTTTTCTTTATAAAAATTATCATGGTCATGGTGTCTCTACAGAGTAATAGAACCCCTAACTATGATAGAAGTTAGTACTAGGAGTTGGGTGTTGTTATGGTAGGCCTGGCCACATTTTTGTTTGGAGGACTGTGGACTTTGAGTCTTTGAAAAAGCAGGAGTTGAAGGTATTAAGAGGAGCTTAGTGGGCCATGCTAATTAGGAGCATGGAAGACAATGGGGCTAAGGGTGATTTGAATTGTGGGGCCTGGCTCAAGAGGTTTCAGAGGAGAAGAATATTAGCATGTGGCCTAGAGACTGTTCTTGTAATATTTGGAAAAGAATGTGACTGCTTTCTGCCCTTGTTAAAAAAATAAAATAAACTCTGCCTGAGGCTAAATTGAAGATATATATATATATGGCTTTGGCAGAGGAGATTTCTAGACACCCTAGTATTAAATATGTTTCTTGATTATTTGTGCCCAAGCTTATGCAGCCCTATAAAGAGAGGGAGTAAGACAAAATGTACAGCTTGAAGAGAAAAAGGGCACCAGAAAAAAATGTTTAAAGAAAATCCTGCTGCTAAATGGAGTAAAGGGAGTGGTGAGCTCAGGGCAAGATCCCAGCTGTCTAAGTTTACAACTTGTGAAAAGGAAGTAGAGAAATGTTTATGGCTAGGCATGGTGGCTGGAGGGACACACCTTTAGTACCAGCACTTAGGAAAGCAGAGGCTGTCAGATCTCTGAGATAGAGGCCAGTCTGAACTACACATTGAGTTCCAGATCAGCAAAGTTTAGACAGTAAAGGAAATTATCAAAACCAGAAAGTTGGTGAAAATGTATTTGAATGATCCAGGCCCCGCAAGTAGCAGAACATGGCTGCTTTGTCCATGTGGTTCTGACTTTAGAGCCAAGGATAAAAGAAGAGGGTTATGGAATCTTCCTTGGTGGCTAAAGAAAGCCTCTGAGGCCAGGTGTATGGCATGGAGGCCTAGAGAGGTCATTGTAAGAAGCTGTGAAGGTGAATCCTAGATTGCCTTGGAGATCCCAATATGTTGGAGATACTAGAGCCAGGGGATAACTGCTAAGGAAAGCTGCTAACAGGAAGTGGAACCAGCTCCAGAGAAAGAAGTGTGTTACAGTCAGCAAAGCTGAAAAGAGTTGGAGATAATAAGAGCACTTTGGTATCAGGGATGGAGATGCAGAATTTGGAGTCTTCTCAGATGGTTTTCAGTCTTGCTTTGGTCCAGTATTTTCTCATATGCTTCCTTTCCTTTTTTAGAATGGTGATGTACATGTACCATTGTTTGTTGGAAGCATTTGTTTTGCTTTTTCATTTTGATTTTACTGGAGGTTACAGTTAAGAGACTGTCACGAGTCTCAGAAGAGACTTTGAACTTTGGACTTTTAAGCAGGGTTGAGACTACTACAGATTATGGGGATTTTTGACATTGGACTAAATGCATTTTTACATTATGCTATGGCTACATGTCTATGGGGAACAGGGAGTAGAATGTGGTTGTTTGAATGAAAATGGCCTCCATAGGCTCATAGGGAGTGACACTATTAGGAGGTATGGCCTTATTGGAGTAGGTGTGGCCTTATTGAAGGAAATGAGTCACTGGTGGTGGGCTTTGAGATTTTAGAAGCTCAAGCCAGGCCAGTGTCACTCTCTCTTCCTGTTGCTTGCTGCTCCGGACATAGAACAATCAGCTACTTCTGCAGAGCCATGTCTGCTGTGTGCTGCCATGCTTTCCCTCATGATAACAACAGATTAAACCACTGAAACTGGAAGCTAGATTCAATTAAGTGTTTTCCTTTATAAGAGTTGGTGTCTGTTTACAGCAATAAAACCCTAATAAGACAAGAAACAATCAGCTTTAATGGGCTATGCCATTGCTATTTTTGTTTCAAGAGCTATGCCTGCTT